CCCCAAAACCCCAAAACCCCAAAACCCCAAAACCCCTTTATAGACAAGTTGGGGATATTAAGGTAGCATAATATTTCTAATATTTAACAAAATGGAGACTTCAAAGTCCAAATTAGAAGTAACGAAGGCCCAAAAGAGTAAGCAAATGCTCTGTTTGTTCAGAGAATGCCTAGGAGTACTTTATTCAAGCCTCTTGGCTTGTACTGTAGTCATGCTGATAATCTAAAAGTTAGCATTTATTCAGCTGGAATCGAAATAACCTAGAACTATAGAGAAAATAGCTGCTTTAAGGAAGATGACAACTTTCATGATGCCTGAAAACATTGCATTATTAGCAAACTAAAGAATTCTGAGGGTAGACTCTCGATTCCAAGTAGGCACAAACTGAATTAAATCAAGATTATTAACTTTTTAGGAAATAAGCATTCTCGTGCTGTTACTCCAAGAACATATAAATCAAAGAGTAAGGCATCATTCAAACAATAGATCTTCAAAATAACACCGAAGATGAGAATCAATTAGACTCAACCACTAAAAATTATTCAGAGTAAGTCTCAATCTCTCCTAGTGTTTCTTCAGGATATCTGGTAACATACTTACAGGAAGTTTAAAGTGTTCAAATCAACAAAGAATGATGAGATTAGCAAGAGGCTGGACTACCTCCTCTTCCCAAACTCTAAGATCCAGAAGAAGGTACTTGTTGTGAGCTAACCCCTAGATTGATTATTTCATAACACCTTACAATAACTTATTATCATTGGACAAGCACATGGATTTCACAGAGAAGGAGGCTCTCGAGGTAAGCTCTTAGTTGGATCACATCTAGAATGCTCAGTATCAAGACCAAGTTCCCATATCAAAGAAATGGAAGCTAATCTCCAAAGCATTGATGAAGGAGAAGGATGAACTCCTCCAGATCCTTAAAGGTATTTATTTGTGGTTTACCTTGAATTGAGTTATCAAGAATTAGTTTAACCATATTTTATAGCAAAAGCCAAAGCACCTAACAAGACTTTTCGTAAGTCCTTTCTCTCATCATTTTCCCTATGTTGAGGTGAGCATCTAGAACAAGAATCTCAAGCACCGTTTTAGAGTTGTTGTTAACTAAATCAGATTTTTGCGATTTAAGGTTAATTTTTTAGGGGAAAAAAGGACAGAAGTCAAGAAGGACAATAACGGTACTAAGAAATCACTGAGTAGACGTAAATGCGTCTTGAGTAGTAAGAGACTAACTTTATACTCCTTATTTAGGCTTACCTAGACCTGATTTTGGGAATAATTATAAAAGAAATAATTTCAGTGATTTGATGATGGAATTTTTGGCGAACTCTCATAACAAAATACTGCCTAAAACAGAAGACATAAATAAGAGTATCACAACCTTTTTCTAATTTTATTATAGATAAATTGATGCACAAATCATCCCTGAAGAGGTCATCTTACCCTAGTTCTCACAGGTACATTCCTCGTCTAACCTCATCAGGCATAGATCAGATGAAGAACAGGAAAATAGGAGGTTTAAAGTATTTTACGCTTCAAGCACTAAGACTAGTCTCAAGGAGCACAATGATTGTCTTCACAACAAAAATCTCAAAAAGTAAGACTTCTATTGTAATATGTAGTATTATTAGCAAAATTTACGAAAATGGATCAGAGCTTCCAAAAGTAGTACCTAGATTCATCAAACCTAGTCCTGGAACGCTTAACAAGGTATAGCTCTATTTAAATACACTTAATAGAATGTAAATCAGAGGCACACTCTAAATATATTAGAGAAGTCTCCAGTCAAAGGGCATAGAAGAGGCTACTTCTTGTCAAAAGTTGGAGAAGGTAGGGGTTTTGATTCATTATAATTCAGATCAAAATACAATTCCAGCAACATCAAGAGGCTCTTATGAGCCAAATCATATGGTCCCTAAGAACCAGGGCAGATTTTCAGGACAGAATAGCAGACCCAAGATTTGTCTGAGATCCTCCCTTGTTGCTGTATACAAGCCTTAAGGCCTACTAGTTATATCATATACAGTGTATTCAATATTTTGAAGAATAGATGGGGTTTTGGGGTTTTGGGGTTTTGGGG